CAGAGCCTACGGGCCCAGGAGAAGGTAGGGGCTGGCACACAGGGGAAGCAGATGCAGAAGGCAGAGTGGATCCCCTCATTCTCTGGCTTTCCCCTCATGCAGCTTCTTTGGGACTTGGAGCTGCTGACTGGGGTTGGCTTGGGCCTCTTCTGGCCCCCCTGGGCTGGGTCCTATGGCCAGAGGGTCCAGACTCAGCATTCATGGAACCAGCGCAGCCAGTCCTGGGGCAGGAATCTAGATGGGGACTCTGAGCAGCTGGTGAGTAGGGGTACCATGTGACACGGAGGTAGTCAAGAGGGCGAGGGGGAGTGGGAGATGCATGGGCTAGGTTCATGTCTGCTTTGTAGTTTCCTGTGAACTCTAAGCTTCTGGTTGCTCAGCTATATATGCGGGTGACGATAGATCCTTCTAGAATTTCTTCAAAGGCCATTGGTTGAGCCACTGGACTACTGGGACAAAAGGGTTCCCACCACAACCAACAAACACCATGTTCTCCTAACTCGAAGACTGCACAGTTAACGACTGGCTGGTGAAGTCAACTGTGGGCCATATGCAGAGCCTTTCCATGTGGCTGCTCAGAGGGAAGGATGTCACCTGGCAGGTCCAAGAGGGCAGAGGCACTGGCACCCAGCATGGCCCTAAGACAGGGATGCTGAGAAGCCTATACCACGGCTCCCTCATGCAGGACTCAATCTGGGCTGATCCTTTGGATAGGTGACTGGTCCCAAAACAGCTGAGAACTGGGGATGGCACCGCAGTCCTGTCACTGAGGTCATTAGTGGCTTCTCAGGGCTGAGGCATCCTCTGTGGTAACAAAAGGTTTGTTAGTAGTGTCCACTGAGGAGGAGTTCAGCCAGCCTTGAGGAACAGGTGTCACAAAGAGCATGAGTGCCACGAGGCAGGTGGCTTGAGGGCCTGCTGGAAGCTTCCTTCCACACTTGGGGAATGCTACCCTTTGGGTCTGGACTCTCTTAATTCTTGCAGAATTTCAAGCTGCACCCTCCAACCCAGGCTGGGGAGGCCCCAAATGACAGCCATCAGCTCCTAAAGGGGTGAGACTTGCTCCCCAGGGACTCTGTGTTCTCAGTACTGCCTCACGGTGACAGAGAACTCACACCCAGTCACAGTCCTCCTAGTGTCCCTCCTCCTGCCTCCAATTCCTTCTAGAGCCTTGCTCAGTTGTACCCACAGTTGCCCACACTCAGTCCCTGGAAGGGCAATGCAGCTCCCAGGATCCACTGGGTGCCGGAGTTAGGGGAGGCCCCCCGGGATATGGAGTTGGGATGAGGGAGTCCAGCAGGCAGGCTGCTCCTCACTGGAGCTGCTGAACTCCTGCAGGAGGCAGGCCCCAGATCCTTCATCTGCCTCAGATCTGGGTGAAGGCAGGAACAATGCAGACCCAAGGCTGGAGGGCCCCATTATGCCTGCAGCGATGACACCTGGTACACCAACAGGAGTGTGTCAAGAAGCCAAGGAAGCAGGTACTCCTGGAGCTGGTAAGCCAGACTAGACTGGGAGGCAGGGAGAGCACCACCCCTGGTTATTCTTCATCTCATACCTTTTCACGGGGTGTCAAGTCAGCTGGGGATGGCAGATAGGACTTTAATTTATTTTTGTTTTATTTCGTATTTTGAGACAGGGTCTTGCTGTATAGGCCGTCTTTTTTTTTATTTTGTTTTGCTATTCTTTTTTTTTTTCTTTTCTCACTCCTCACCCCCAGACAGAGTTTCACTGTGTAGCCCTGGCTGTCCTGGAACTCACAATGTAGACCAGGCTAGCCTCAGTGATCTGCCTTCAGAGGGCTGGGACTAAAGGCATGTACCACCACTGCCCAGCTGTATAGTCCAGGCTGATCTAGAATTCACAATCCTCCTGCCTCACCCTCATAAGTGCTAGGATTATGGGTACACCACCATGCTCAACTGAAGTAGGTTTTATTGCCAATTTCCCAGTTGGCACCAGGTGTCTCAGGCACTGTGTCCAGTGGGATTCTGAATTGAATTGGGGCTCAGGCAGGAAGAGCCAGCAGTTGAAGGAACAGGGTAAAAGGAACAGAATAGCAATCCAAGGTTATCCATTTGCTAACCTTATGCCAAGCACAGGGGCCATACAGAGACTTGGGAGGACTTGTTCTAGTCTTTGAGATCACAACCTTGTGGTGGGATAGATGCCCTGGCCTCCCCTCCCCCAGCCTGCTGTATTGATTGACTCTACAGTTCTGTGTCAAACAGTACATCAGTCAAAACTACATACTTCCAATTGCTTTATCACTTGGAAGAGTGCTAATGGTTCTTTTTTTTTTTTTTTTTTTTTTTTTTTTTTTTTTTTTTTTTTTGATTGACAAGAGTTTTTACAAGTTGTCTCTTGGGAAGACAAGGATACAAATTACACTGTTACCTGTCTACACTTTATTATCTTGGGGGAGGTTCTCTAAGACCACAGCTCAGAAGGAAGAGGATAGGGGGTTGTTTTCTTGGCAATGATTTTTAAAGCCAAGAATCTTATAAGATTCCTTTGTTTAAAAAGCCCTTTGAAGCCGCATGAATTTCCATAGAAAACACACCCCTGTGGTTACTGTTGTGAATACTCTGTTTTCCTTGCAAGAGAAAGATGTAACTGTCTTGCAAAGGAGCTCGATTTAGGAACCAGTGTTGTGGATGCAGAGCGGCTCTCTTTTCCACAGCTGCAGGGAGCAGCGACAGCACTTTCCTCATTTTAGACTTCTTTTGTTAATTATGAAGACTTGGCAGTTTTTAAGCCAGACTCTGGCTTAAAATTTCCTTCGATTTTATAGCCAGAAACAAAGATCTAAGTAGGATTTTTCTTCTTAACAGGGAAAGTGTGGCGCACACACAGTAGGGCTCTTCTGTGGGCCTGAACCAGCATACCTGGACAAAGTGGGGGTCCTGAAAGGACCTCAGCAAATGGACCCTTCTTGTGGTGTTCTTGGGGGAGGGAGGAAGTGAGCTAAAGAGATGAGGAAGCTGGGATTGGCTGTTTGCAGGCACAGGAAGCACATGGTAGAGGATGGGATGAAGTGTGTGAATTATGACATGAAGCTCAAGTGTCACCTTTGCGACTCCTCCCTCACCTATGCATAGGGCGCACCCCTGGAGTCTTCACTCTAATTCAGCTGGAACGGGTGTTAGAGGATAGGCATCAGCAGACATTGGCCAATGTCTGTCGTTTCACTTTAGGTTGCTTACATCCCACCACCAGCTGCAGCTTCAAGGAGCCAGGAAACTCAGAACTTAAGGTGAAAGGGTCATGGGCAGGAGCTCTCTCAGGGGCAGCAGGGGTGCAGTCTGCCTGGGAGAAGACTGCTGGGGTGAGGTGGGGCCGCCTCCACAGCTGGGTGGAAGGAGGGGCGACCCCGCCAGCGGGGCTTCCGAAGGGGCCACCTTTTACACCGCATAAAATGGGTTTAGGACACTCGGGTAGTGGTGATGGTCGTGATGCGATATGGGACGCGCTGGGGAAAGAGTACGAACTTTTTGGACCCAAAATGTTTTTCTTTCCTAGGACTCAGGCAAGATGGAAGAAAGCGGTCCAGCAGAGCCAAACGTTCAGAGTTCCTGTGGACAGAGGCTTAGAAGCCCACAGGAGGGAACGCTGGGCCAGGAAGGCCCGGAGCCCTCTGACCTGGCTTCCCAGGGATTGCCAGAACTCCAAGATCCCCCTTCCACGGGGCTTGGCGCTGGCCTGAGTCACGAGAGGGCCGAGGGAGCTGAGCCCCAGACACTGTTGACAGACTCTCCTCAGGGTGACCCTGAGACACCACAGGGTCAGCGTGGGCAGTCGCCTCGGAGTTATACAGGAGAACCGATTCGGGGACAAGACAAAGCGGTTCCTCAGAGTCGAAGTGAAAGGAAGCAGGCTCAGCAGGAATTCGAACCCCCTCACTTTGGGGAAGGTGGTAATTCAGAAGTCTGCGGGGAAGCTCAGGGAGGAGCGACAGTGTGGCGCCGGGAAGAGGGCCACCCTGAGGGCTGTTCCAGGGACTTTTGCAGGTCCCCAGGAAAACCGACCCCCCAGCATGTGCAAACGCGGATACCAGGAC